TGCGGCTCGGTTCCACTGAGATCCCCTTCTCCCGACTCGCATTAGCCCACAAACAACCAACATTAACTCTCTGTTACTTCTAAAAAGCCACAAGTCGAAGGAAGTTTGCTTTCTTCACGTCACGAATACGCGGCCATGCTCGATTTCATATAAAATAAATTGAAAAGTTTTCGAGTTTAATTCCGTTCCTCAAGCCGCCATCAGTTCGCGCTCGCGGCGGCGTGGCGGAAGCGAATCTCGATGTTTTGTAATGGAGCTTTTTAAAATGGAAGTCGAACTTTTGTCAGACACTTTTAGCCGCGCCGGAGATACATTTAAGCTTTTTAACTTTTCCACTCCGGTAATGTATCCCACACTTTCCTACGTCTGTAGTGGAGATGTCGTATACGTTTTTTTACCGAGTAGATAGATGAAGTAAGCAAGTTTTTTTATTTATGTGACTCAGCTCGTCCCCAGTTGCTTGCAATAATCCTGCCAAAGAGCTTCTCTCTATCCGACTTCGGACTGCTTGTTTTTTTCGTGTTCGACAACAGTGTAAACATTTTGCCTACGATCCATTAAGTAAATGCACTCTGGCCGCCACTCGGCACTGCATTAATATTGCATTTCTAACTCCTCCCTGCTGCCCCAAACCCCCACGATTGTAAGCCCTCGATGGACATTTACTTGGCCAGGTTTTCAGAAACAAAGCTAATGGACATTGTTTTACATATTGCGTCAATATTAATTTGCGCATATAAAATTACATTTTGAAAATATTAAAAGACAAAGAAGGTTTTTGAATGAATACCTACCTTAATAATCGACCTAACTTAGAATAGTAAATAGTTAAATAGTTAAAAAAATGTAACGTATCTATATTATCTCGTTGGGAACACGCCTTAAAATAACAGTTAACCTGAAGAAATATATTCGTATCGTTCGCTTATTTCATCCATATACGGCTAGACGTACAGTACGATCTAACTCCTTTAAAAGACGACGCGTACATTTCTTACAAATTATATCAATCTCTCAAAATCAATAAGTGTTTGTAGCTAATGTAAGCGCTTAACGAGCCGCGAGCGGGACTCCTGAGCGGATCAGCAAATGGAGTGCTTCATGCATAATGTAGCGCAGGCTGAGTGTTGTTTTGAAAAGCGTTCTGAATTTGTTATTTTCGTCACACCAGGTGATGCCCAGGCACCTCATGAAACATTTAACGACATATCGATGTACATAATGTTGTTTGTTCAACTGGCTTTACAAAGATTTCATTACACTGTAGTCCACTACAACTCATTTATAAATATATCATGTAACGTTTAAAAGTACGAGTATCGTCTGCCGAAGTCTTTCATTTGGTACTGCTTTTGTCGGAAATCATTAGAGTATCAAGCATAATGCATATGACCGATGTTTATAACCGGACCTGCCTAACTTATTGTAGCCTTGTTCAGAATGAATTATTTTACCCACCATATCAGTACTTACCACGTTTTCTAGATTAAAATTATTTTGACAAGAGAAAAGTGTTGCATTATTATTTTAAACTGTTACGAATACAAAGGGAGGTACAACATGAACAGTCGTAATATCTAATTGTTGAAATAAACGAACGACTTGAATTCACGGCAAAAGCTTAAAGCAAGAATCATCTCTTTGCCGTAAAGCGAAATTTCTATATCCTTACGTAACTTTATTAAATGATAACAGGAGATAACCGGCACCTCAGAATTAATTAATCCACTCAGAGATTGCATCTAAAAGCCCGCTGCCCCCGCGCACCCCATCTCCACCCGGGGTCGATCCGTTTCCAGCCACTTAAACTTCACGCGGCGCGCTCCTAGCTTCCGTTTTAATTACAAAATTAATTCAAAATGTAATTAAAGTTAACAATAAGGCAGCAAACAATTGAAGTTATTTATGTTAGTTTATGCTTTATGGCGAGTACTGCTACGTTGGAAATGCGATTTACTCAAGAGTCGACTTGAATATGCTGACTTCTATTGTTACGTCTTTAACTTTGTTGGTAATATGAGGCACTTGATGATATGTGAGGCAATTTCAACTTTTAATTAAATTTCTGTTCTAGATTTTTTCTAGTAGGGAAGTAGGACCTTTACTAACATTTAAATGAATCGAATGGATTAGGTACAACCCTCATTCTAATGTATCAGTATACCTACTCTTTATAGTTCAACTTCCCATTGTCGGAATATGGTAATAGTGCTGGCCCATAATCATAGAGTCTTTATAACGTAACAAGCGATAAGGTTGAACCTTTATTCCTATTTAGTATCAGGAGATGAACCGCATCGAGGACTGATCCATTCGACGTCGCTATACAGGCAATAAAGCTCTGTTGAAAAGCACTTAACAGGATTGATTCAGACCATTTACCATTCTATAAACAAACACAACCTTTCCATTATGGTAAATTATAAAACCTTTTAGCAAATCGAAATCGAAGAAAAAGGAGCGGTCTGCTTTGACGCAATTGGATATTATTATTGAAATAGATTTGGTATCTAGCGCTGAATTCGTTTAGTAGCTTTAATCCTGCACTCACTTTACCGAGTAAACTGTTCTAAACTGATTATTCCTAAGTAGTGGGTACCTATGTCCCTGAGTACAAATGCGTTAGTACATTGGTACTAAGGTAGGGGTTGCCCTACCATCATCAGCTAATAAATACCCAACATAGAAACTACACACAGACTCTTACGTATGAGAAGCAGGCGCCTTAACCCCCGGGCCAACACGACCTCATTAACGACATCAGCACCTATCATTCAAGAATCCTTTATTTTTAATCGACGAAAAACTATATTCCCGGGATCCTATTATCTACTTACTGTCACTGCTAGAGTTTGTTTATGGTTGGAAGCCATTCTATAGATACCACGGTTTTACAATCGAGACAAGGTAAATATAAGTTAATAGGTAGTATAACATATAATTTTTTTTCAGTGTTCGATATTATTGTTTTTATTTTTATGTGGTAGCAAATAGTTTATTTACCTGATTATGAAGGGACGCAACCTACCACAGCCTCTGCCTAGACCAGAAGAAGGAACGACAAACAAAATACTCTTCGTATTTTATCAGTAAGAGTCTGATGATTTCCCAATAAAAATGGTAAATCAGCGCCGCCCATGAGCACCCGCAGCCCCAGAGGTGTTGCAAGAGCGTTGGTGAGTTATTGGAGACCAATCAAATCATTTAGGGAGGAATGCATTGGACCTCCGTTAACTTCACTCATACGCCGAAACACAACGCTGTGTTTATTTCACGCCGGTTTCCTATGAGGCCAAGGCATCACTCCAATCGAGACGGACCATTTGGGCCGAAGTACCGAAGTATATACCTTGCCTTCACTTTATATTTTTTTCGCTTTTATGTTTATTTTCTCAATCAGATCATTGAAAAATACAATAAATTTAAATTACCACTTTACATGGCGTTCAATGACTACTCCAAAGCCTTCGATAGTCTCACCCGTTCATCCATATTTACAGCTTTACATAAGCAAAACATCCCAGAAATATACATAATTCTGCTAAAACATATTAACAGTGCTGTAGCAATCAAGCTACATAAGTTAGGCCAATCCTTCCCTATCCGCAAAGGAGTCAAACAGGGCGATCCGCTACCTCCGAAACTCTGCACAGCGACCTTAGAAGAGGTTTTTAAAAAGGTTGAGCAGAGCTGGAGCTCGCGGGCTTGGGTCATCGGGGACAAAAGGTTAACAAACCTCCGTTTCACCGATGACATCGTACTCTTTTTGTCTTCAGCATCAGAACTTGGCAATCAACGAACTTAACAGAGCGAGCCTTGAGGTTGGACTGAAGATGAATATGTCGAATACCAAACTAATGACAAATGGTCCCAAACACAGGTTGGAAGTACCTAGATGGAGCAGAAATTGCATACAAATAAGTATACACTAAATGGGCCAACTAGTTTCTTTCCAGGTGAGACAAGAAAAAGAAGTAACTCGACGTACCGAGAACGCTTGGAAGGGCTATTGGTCCATGGGATACCTAATGAAAGGCAATCTTCCCTTGGCGCTTAAAAGAAAGCTCATGGACGTGTGCATTTTGTCCATTCTAACCAACCTACTGCGCTCAGACCTGGTCTTTGACAAAACATCAGAAGTCCACACTTCTGCATGTTAGGAGTTTGATTAACCGACAAAATGAGGAATACTATACTGCAGTCCAAAACTCTAATCGCTGACGTTGTTCAGAAAGCCGCAGGCCTCAAATGGAACTGGGCTGGAATTGTTTGTTGCATGTCAAACGAGCGGTGGGCAAATATTGTTACCGAATGTAGCCCACACAATGCTAACAGACACCAAGGCAGGTCCAGAAGTAGATAGCGAGACAAACTTGATGTCTTCTTGTTGGATTGGCAGCAGAAATCTTTATGTGGCGAGGAGTGGAAGAAGGGTATGGAAGCCTTTGCCGTGCAGTGGGATGATCTTCTCTTCTTAGTCGTGCACTCTTGACAGAGTGGTCGTGGTCAAGTGGGACGATAACGGCTGATAAAAAAAGCATGTTATGTAGGTACTTATGATTTCTCAATCTTAGTTATAAGTAACATGCTGTTGGCTTCTGAATATGTATTTAATTAAGTAGTATTTGTTAAGATTTAAGGGATTTCACATTACAACTAGCGAAAATCTCATGAACGCTGCGACGAATCGCTAACCGAAACAATGACTGACACCGAGTAGTTAGACACCCAGGCAGGCGTCTTGCCCTCTTCTGCCTTATCCAGGTAAAGCAGAAGCGGACCACAAAAAAAAATAACTTATTATTAATGTACTTATATTAGTTTTAAAAGTTTGACCAACATATTTTCGTATTATGTACTACTAACGACATCTATACTGCTTCGACTAAACTAAAACGTATGTCCGTACTCTGATAGAATAGGTAGGGTGAGACAAACACTTAATTTTAAAAGAGCAACACCAAACGCAATGTCAATGTCAAACAACAATAATGTCAGTGGTCAAATTCGTTTATTTTTAATCTCTTAAAAAATAAAATGCGGCTAAGTTGAAATCACGCCGTTATTAAACTACGCCGCTGTTTGTGTTACACCACCATCGAAATTATTCAAGGTCAATTTATAATAAGGTACTATGCCGAATACTAGGAAAAAAGTTATCAAGACGGTGTATAAAGATGAGGACAGTGAAGTAGAAGACGGTGATTTTAGTGATTCTGGTTCAGATGCGAAATTTTCTGCTGAAGATGTATCAAGCTCCGAGGATGAAGTAACCGGCGTTCCTTCATCTGAAGACGAGTTTGATAATAAAACCAACGCTAAACAAAGAAAACCTAAAGCTAAGAAGTTGAGTAGAAAACCAAAATTTACCCAAACAATATTACAAAAAATAAATAAACAAACATCGGCCGAAGATGAAAATGAGGACGATGTTCTTCCTACTTCACAGTTCTCGGTCAAAGACCTAACAGAAGCAGACAAAATATTGCCAAAATTTAATTTTTCAGAACTTAACTTGTCAGAAAGTGGTAAGTTTGAACAGTTTTTGTTATACCAACAATAACATTATACGAACATGTTTTCGGAACACGATCGGACATGTTGCGACTTGTACTCATAAAAAAATTAATGATCATGATGACCATGATATTTTTGTGATGTATTGTTATAAATATTTCAGATAGCAGTGATGATGAATCTCAAAAAGTCTCTAAAAAACAACCTACTGCCCCAGTACCTTACAAAGAACCTGAAGAACAAGTTTCAACCAGTGATCATGAAACTGCTATGGAATACAAAGATGTAAGTTGATAGCAAAAATAGATTTCTATTATCAGAGATAATTTTTGTAAACATAATAAATGTATTGTACTTATGTCATTGAGAAAAATGACAAACTTTTTATCAGGAAGATATTTCAAGTCCAAGGATAAAGAAACCAAAATAACTTTATTTATCTAAGAACTTATCTGATAAATAGGTACTATTGATGAACGAACAAATTTAATAAATTTACTCATGAAGTGAATGGTTATAACATGAATTCATTGAATGGATTTCAGTGAAATGAATGAATTAAATTAATATTATCAACAGCAACATTTCAAAGATTATAAATATAAAGTAAACTTTCGTAATTTGAATCCTAAATGAATGAGAATTTAAGTAAATTTTGATTTTTTTAAATCTACTTTATTTTTAAAATTAATTAAAAATATTTACTTACAATTTTAATGACATTTATAAATAGTTAACAGAAAGATTTAAGTAATGCACCATAGTCGCAGTACTGCCTTTATCTATCTATATGCATTTGTACCATAAATTTTTATCAATTTCAAAGAAATTGATAATGAAAATGTGGCTTTCTTTCCAAATTTATCAATTTACAAATAGGTGTGGTCAAATAACATACAAGATAACAGTGAAGAAATTGCCAAAAAGGCGTTTTTGGAACTGGAACAGCATAAAAATAAAATTGAAGAGGCCAAGGCATCACTTCTAAGTTATGCACAAAAACTCAGTGAGTCTCAACAAGAGACCAATGTAAAGGACCTATTAGCACTTGGTGAGGAGGCTATAAGCACTGAACCCTCAACAAGTAATGTTAAGAAAAAAACAAAGTCTAAAAAAAAGAAAGACGACAGTGATTCTGAACTAGAGGACTGGGAAGAAGTCAAAGGTATGTGCAAATCTATTTAACTATATTATAAAAATGATTCATTCAGTTACAAAAACATTTGATATAAAAAAAGAAATGAATATTTATATTTATACAGTCACTAACTTCAAAATAAATTATTCAGACAATTAATTTTTTTCCATATAATTGATAAGTTTTGTGCTAGTAAATATTGATAATTAAACAAGTGAGTTGTTATTTGTAACAGTCTTGCGCACTTTTTTGCAACCTTTTATACATCTTTATACCTATATAATATTATAAAGCTGAAAAGTTTGTTTGAATGTGTTAACATGAGGAACTACTGGTTCGAATTGAAAAAAAAAACTTTAGATAGTCCATTTATATAGGAAATAGATTAATCCATTTGTCTATACAAGCCGAGGTGAGGGTGAAACTGCTCAGGAGTAGATAGTTTGTAATGTTGTTGAGCAAGATATTGCAGTTAATGATAAAATTATTAGAATGTAGATTGTCCTTTAATAAACTAGATGGAAAATGCAAACAAAAAGTAATTCTTATAAATTTACAATTTATTAATAAACAATGATGTAAGTCATTATTGTTTATTGATCATCAAATGTTTTAGGGATACTGCTAGTTAGCTAACATTTTTGTAAATGTTTTCTTTCACTTTTTCAGAATCAAAAGGAATATCACCACAAGGCTTACAACTGTTTGTTGAATTCCCTGATGCAGTATGCAGAAAGAGTAAAAAAGTTGATGTTGAAATGATGATGAAAAGGAAAATTAACAGAGTTAAAAAGGAGTATCAAGTATACATGCATAAAGTACATGTTTTGTGCTGGTTGGGACATGGTAATTTCGTAAGTCGTGTTTTAAATGATCAAGAACTTATGGCAGCTGTTTTAACCTTAGTACCATCCAAAGAATGCTATCCGGGAGAGAGAGTTGACATGAAATATGTTGAACAAATTACTTCTTGGTATAAAGACAAACTAAAATTTAAGCAAGACAAACATGAAGATAAATTCAAACCAAAAGCCCCACCTCTTAAAGTCCTCTTGTTGGATCAGATAAAAAACAAAACAGTCACTTCAAAAAAATATTTGGTTTTTATATTTGTTACTATGTTGAGGGCTTTAGGTCTTCAATGTCGTGTTATGTTAAATTTCGTAACCCTACCTAAAAAACCACCAAGTTCCGAACTATGCTCACTTTCCACAAAACCAAAAGAAGAGAAAAAAGATGCTGATTCTAAGGCTAAGGCAGGCACCTCTGAAATTAAAACAGGTTCATCGAAGGCTAAGACAGGTACTTCTGAAACAAAAGCTAGCACGTCTAAAGCTAAACCCTCAAACATTAAATCAGACGAAAAGCAAGAAAAAAAACCTGGCGCTTCCCATTCCAAGCCAAAAAGGAAAAAAATTGCTCAAGTGGATGGTTGTGATGATGATACATTTATTGATAGTGAAGATGACAATATAATGCAAGTTGATGGGAATGATGATGGTAATCGTAAAACAAGATCTAGTAAAAGAACAAAAATAAGTGAAGCTAAAACCGAAACATCTGAAAATGAAGATATATCGCCTCCTAAAATACCAAAGAAAGGAACAAGCAGCGCATCACCAGTCCAACCAACATTGAAAATAGATGAAAATAATGTATCTCATGGCAAAAAGAAAGCAGTGGAAGAAGTTAAATCCAAGGAAACAACTAAAGGTAGTACAGAACCAAGCAAATCATTAACACGTGGAGAAAAAATAAAGGAAGAAGATCAGAGTAAAAAAACTCCAACAAAAAATGTGATACCATCTAGGAGTTTAACTCGTAGCCAAAAATTAAAAGCTGGAACTAGTGAAAACACATCAGAAGCTAAAGAAAGTTCACCAACTAAAAGTGTCACTAGAGGACAGGCACCGAAAACTCAGATTGGTAAAACTTTGTCGCCAAGTGGTAGTGACAAAGGTAAAGATCAAGAATTAAATATTCAGCGTAACTCCAGAACAAGAACACAAAAGGGTAAAATGAATACTGAGAACATTACTGAAGTCCCAAAAATATCTGTAACTGATGAGAATGCGAAAGAAGTATCAAGTAAATATTTTGAAGACATAAAACCTAAAACTAGCAGGCTATCAAGAAAACGTTCACAAACTGCTAATCCTAAAAACCTATTGACTACAAGTAAAGAAGAAAATAAGGGAAAAGTATCTAAACCAAATGCTAGAACTCATAGTGCTCCCGACCCATCTATGGAGAAAAGTAAATATTTTGAAAGTCCAACTAAGAAGAGTCCTCTGAAAAGATCTATAAGACAAATTAAAAAAGAAATTAAAGCTGAAGACAGTCAACGAGTGAGCCACAGAGATCTTGCGAAAACAAGCAAAGGAAAGGGCGATGTTACTGCAGACCTGGTGAATATTATAAAGAGTAGAGTGAAAGATGCTAAGCTACAATCTAAAAAGGGATTAGTGAAAGGTAATTTTTATAGTTTAGCAATCCATTTTATTGTGATAAATACATATCACTCGCTCATACCAATCATCAAAATTAGGATAATGTAGCTATACATTTAAGGATTATGCAAATCATTTCAGGTAAAATTAAAAAGGAATCTGATGAAGATAGCGATTACTTACCAGTTGAGGAATCTAAGAAGTCAGACAGTGACGATGACTTGAAAGAAACAAAAATAAGTCCCAAACCGAGCACCAGTCGTAAAATAGACCGAAGAGTGCTGTCCTCTGCCTCTGGTGACGAACCCAGCAAGAAGAAAGGAATGGATGTGTGGTGTGAAATATTTGTAGAAGAATTAGAGCAATGGATTTGTGTAGATGTCGTCAAAGGAAAAGTACATTCTACGGGTGATATTTATGTAAGTTAAATTCGTAATTGGTATACCATATTTAAACATCTGTAGAAATCTATCAAACAAATAATATTTTATGATATCCTCAGAATAATGCCACACACCCAATATGCTACATTGTTGGATGGGACAACAATAACTATGTAAAAGATTTGACCCGTAAATATGTTCCTCACTGGAACACCATAACTCGCAAACTTCGCGCTGAACCTGACTGGTGGGAAACTGCATTGAGGCCCTGGCGGGGACCGAGGACTGCGAGAGATAGGGAGGAAGATGAATATTTAGATAAGATGCAGTTAGAAGCACCTTTACCTAAAAGTGTTGCTGAGTACGTAACTATTATGTTTATCGTAAAATATTTTCGTATATAAATAATCAATTTGACTGATGGACTTATACCTTTGCAGATACAAAAATCATCCATTGTACGCGTTGAAGAGACATTTGCTGAAATTCGAAGCAATTTACCCACCTGACGCAGCAGTGCTAGGATACGTACGCGGTGAACCGGTGTACGCCCGAGAGTGCGTATACGTGTGCCGCTCAAGAGACATCTGGCTCAAGGAAGCTAAAGTCGTTAAACTAGGAGAGAAGCCCTATAAGATCGTAAAAGCACGACCCAAGTGGGATAAGGTAAGTCTGTAGTAAGGGAATATGTATTGCACGAAGTTTTGAAAACTGCTTATTTCGCTAAAATCATTCTTATTTTCCAACGAGATAAACAGCTAAATAAAGCTTTTATTTAAAAAAAAAATAAAAGCTTTGCAAATGCTTTTGCAAATTTGCAAATGCTCTAGGTGTTAAAACACCACAAAATTTTTATGCAGTGAAATTATTATTTTTTGTTTTTTAAATAGACGTTGCCCCACATTAGGATTTTCTCCTGTGTCGTGGGTGCTGTTACAAACATACAAACATATATTTTCACATACACAAGACTCCCAGACCCGGATTGTGGATCACACGAAGAGTTGTTCCGTGCGGGAATCGAACCGCGACACGTTGCACGGCAGCCAGTTGCCCAGCCGCCGCACCAACCGTGCAGTCAAGTCAAATTCCGAATCATATTGACTACTTTTCCTGATCATCAACGTGTCCGTCTATTCATCCATCCAAAAACAAAATTCATCAGAAAATAGGAAATTTATCATTGACGATCAAAACAAGTTTGCTCAAGGAGTCACGCTAAGTCACTATGTGCACCAGCATATAAAAATATGTATTGTATTCTTTCTTACGTTCCGCGTTCGTGTAAAATACGAATAAGGCTATTCTATTTTTCAGCTGTCATGTAAAATCGTTGACGGCGGGCTCTTGGAAGTATTTGGACCATGGCAAGTGCAAGATTATGAACCACCAACAGCAGAAAATGGTATTGTTCCCCGGAATGCATATGGCAATGTTGAACTCTTTAAAGAGTGTATGTTACCCAAAGGAACTGTTCTTATCAAATGTAAGTCAAAACACCATTTTAAACGCTTATTTGCATATATTTTATGTCGACTAATTGATTTGTCAATGCAATATTACAGTGCCTAACTTAATGAGGGTTGCAAAGAAGCTGAATATAGACTGCGCACCAGCTATGACTGGCTTCGAATACAGTGGCGGTGGGTATTCGCACCCTGTATACGACGGGTTCGTGGTTTGCAAGGAGTTTGAGGAGATTATTACAGAGGCTTGGCTAAAGGTAATAAATCTTGGACAGTTTTGGTTTCTTAATATTGTATCAGAACATAATTATATATCTATAATGCAAAAATGACTGCCACTTTTCGTTGCTATGTTATAACTCAACAATGCCTTTATCGATTTAGCTAATTTTGGTCTGGAATTATTCGTGAAAGTCCAGGAAAGATTTAAAAACCCAAAATAAATAGTTATATTCTAAGCGGTACGGAGTTCGCCAGGACAGCTAGTATTATTATAAAAATTAATCTCAAAATATGTTGTAAGCACATAAGTCAACAACGCCTGGATCAATTTACCTACCTAATTATTTTTTTGTTGTATTTATTATTGTCACAAGAAGGATCTTAGGAATTAAATAAATTTTAGGTATCTAGAGAGGAAATGCTTGTTGTTGATTATTTTTGGTAATATTACAATTCTTGTTTATGATGTAGGATCAAGAAGAACAAGAACGCAAAGAGATACAAAAGATCGAATCACGAGTTTATGGTAACTGGAAGCGTTTGATCAGGGGGCTAATGATTCGTGAGCGTCTCAAAATGAAATACGGGTTTGAAGAGCCCAGCACAGAAACAACAAAACAGTCCAAAGGACCAAGATTGGTTGTGAAGAAAAAATCATGAGAAAGAAGTTTACACTCTTTATTTTAAAATTAGATACATCTAAATGCATGAAAATGTTACAAAAGAAAATGCCCAATGATAAAATGGATAATGAAAATAATGTAATTACTTTTCATTGGATGTCAGAGTATTGTAGCATGGTTTGCATGATAGTATTAATGTTGTTTTATGTTTTACCATAATTCGTTGTTAATCCAATTTAATTGTATTTTGTTTTTATTTGTTATTTTTACACTACGATTAGTTATCCTTACTACCTCATAATAATAATCATCACAAGTTATGTAGATGATATTGAAAACTTAATATTATTTGATTGTGATAAATCTAGCTATCTAAGATAAATCCGACCTTTCAAAAGAATCTGCCTAATATTACCTCCGATAATTTTACATTGAATAATTAAGTTGTTATTATAAATTGATTGTTTGGAAATATGTTTTTATTTGTATAATTTGAAATAATAAAATTATTATTTTTATATGAGTATTTCAATCATCTCTCTACTATACTCCCTTATATAAAGTAATTGGATATGCAAAGAAAACACTTAATGTCGTATATTTATTTAATAAAATTATAACTTATACAAATTTTGTTTAATATTTTTAATAATTATGCAAAAAGCTGCTTTTTATCTTTACATTATCCTCATTATATGTTCGTTAAATATATATAGCAAAAGCTCCAAAAGCGTAATACACGTAGGTGGTTAGAATTTACCGTAGCGCAACTTTTATACGCTCGTGTAAATTACAAATATTATGTACAAAAATCTTTGGTGTATAAAAATATTTATAGAATAGACACTTCAGATCTTATACATAAGATCTGGTCGGTCGAAACGATTACAATTATTTGCAATCTTATCCGCGTTTACAGGATAGTTTTTTGTCTTGCACGCACCTTCATATCACAGTGTGATAAATATAAGGTACATGTAATCACAATGCCGTTAATTTTTTTTTTTGGTTTTTAATATTTTTTATCTTTCTGTATTACAAATTATTTATACCACTTACATATCTACATTAAGTCTATTACCTTATGTACCTACTACAATATTTTATAACGAATATGTAAACTAAGGGCCCAGACACATTCATCACAATTTGTACATTATTATTATGAAAGGAATGTAACCTTTAATTTATACTTTCGTGACAAAATATTTGTGTTCATTGGCCATTCACTTTATTACCATTTATTTTAGGTATTAGTCTCATTGAAAGTAAGTATCAACCATTATTAAAGCCAGTTTAATACATGGTATGATAGTCTGTCAAGCTAGGTAGCAACATACATTAGATTAGATTCCTTTCATGCTACCATTATATCTAAATGTTTCCTATAAAGACCAGCTTCATAGTTCCATTATGCCATGGTCAATGTGCCTGCGCCCATACCAAAACCTACACCCTTAGGACCAAAGTTCCTGCCGTAACAACTTCGGCAGTAAATTTCTCCGTTAGGTCCGTCGTTTAAGTTGGTTGAATCCTGAAAACAAAAGAGAAACAAATAAATTTATAAAACAAGTACTAAATTCAAATGGTAGGTAAAATACCCTATACCTACACCAAATGCCGAATAAATAAAAAAAACTTTTATTTGAATAACACAACGACTCAATAGAATAAGCCACAGAAAGCGGTTACACATATACAGTCAATGATGTATAAAACTATAGATACGTTGTCCGCGCTCAAAAATGACAACATGAAATGAAGGCAATTGACAACATCGCGCTTAGTTACGCACCAACCTGCCGCGCGACGCTACGTTTGTTTTTAATTTATATCGTGTGTAAACCTGTGCGAAACATAAAGAAAGCATGTCGTTGTGTGTGTTCAGACGATGTACAAATTATACTCCAAAAGTTAAAGACAAAAATGTGTCATTTCATGCGTAAGTTCACCAAACAACCTATTTTTATTTTATTTTTTTCGACGCCGGCGCCCGCCATCTTATGGTGGCTGGCGCATGAAGGTATAGTCACGTGACGTCGGCATAACTGAAGATGTATATTTATCTCCCTCTAGCAAAGGCATTCCACTATACGATGTCATATTTTCTTTCCCTTTCTTTACTCGTAGAAGTAGTTATCTAGTATTTTCGCCGTTTTTAAGCGCCGCGATGTTGGTTCATGACGTGTCTATATATAATACGTCATTGTATACAGTCAATTTTCAGAAAAGGAAGGAATTCTAACTGTTAGTAACGTACTATTATTTGTTACGACGACTTAACGTTCACACATAATATTTCACAATAATGACTGTCCAAAATACTCGTAACCAGTGTTAAAAAAAAATCATAGCGCGGTCCATATCGCTATTTGTCCAGGCCATAAACTCCAAAAAAAAAAAAAAAATATCGCTATTTGCAATATAAAGCTATTTCACTTTTGCTTTTCCTATTTTAGCTTAATATGATAGAGATAGAAGAAAGCATGTGATTCTCGATATGTCACTGTGTGTCTGTCACCACACGTCACACGTCATTCATTGAAGTTGTCAAACGTGAATCAATGAATTAACAGAATCAATTTCGGATTTTGCCGATTTTCTGAGATTTAGGTGAAATTATTATTAGCTGTGTTGTTTTGTAGCAAAGGAACTATACATAAAGTGGCAACAATACTTTGAAAATGTTTTCGGCAGCTCATTTAATATGTTTCGCTACATTGTTTGTACTAAGCAGTAATGCTGAATTCACAACCGAAGATTGTGCATCGCTTGGATTTATCAAAGCGAACCTGCTATGTTCGTCCTGCGATCAACTGAAAGATTTCGGGTTAGAACAGATATTGGCTCATTGTAAGGAGTGCTGTCATCAAGATGAAAGTGCACCAAAAGAAAAGAAGTATGCTCGCGCTATACTTGAAGTTTGTACGTGCAAGTTCCCGGCGTATCCACAAATCCAAGCATTTGTAAAGAGCGATAGACCGGCCAAATTTCCTAATCTACAAATTAAGTATGTACGAGGTCTTGATCCTATCATCAAATTGTTGGATAAAGATGGAATTGTAAAGGACACTGTGGCTATAGAAAAGTGGAACACAGACTCAGTAGAAGAATTCTTAAGGGCTCATCTTGAAAATGACAATGATGACGAACATGATTATTTGAAAACAAACAAAATTTGAATAGAAAACTTATAGGCTATAAGTTATAATATACCTTTTTTATTCTAGTTTTTCGTTTTTTATTTTCTTGTAACATAAACGATATACTTACAAGAGATCTATGGCATTCCGCACATGAGAAGCACCGTTTGTGCCATGTGCCATTCTTGGAGTGCATTTGTTCAGCAGCATAGACTGGGAACCCACAACGAGGGCAGCCCTGGCCCTTGGCTGCTTTTTGGCCAGTGAAAGGAAGCTGCTCCGTGCTGTAGAAATTAAATATTTTATTGAACAATTTTCATTTAAAATTATAACTGTAAATAATTTACCAATCCCCATTTAAAATCCTATTAATTCATATTAATACTTAGTAGATAATTTGCATACTCACTATGTAACAGCGGGTTCAGAGTCACAGGAGACAAGAGTGGGGGCATGACCATATCCAAATCCTCTAGGTCCAAAGAGCTTGGCGTAGCAGGCACGGCAGTGAATCTCCTTGTCTGGGCCATCGCAAGCTAACATTGAATCCAGAGGTCGGTGGCACTCTGCACAGTTGAAACATTTCTTGTGCCACATCTGTAAATAAATAAAATGCTCCATTTAATAACACTGTAGTCAATCAGATTTGGTTGCAGAAATTTTAAAACAATTTTAGTAAATTCATCAAGCTATTGTGCCTAAACTTACCGTGCCCTTAGCAAGTTGTTGTTCAGCGGCGAAGACCATACCGCCGCAACGAGGGCAACCCTGGCCCTTAGGCGCCTTGATGGAAGTGGTATCAGGGTTATAATAAGGACGGTTTGCGGAAATTTCTTCCTCACTGTAAATTTATATTATCAATTATTCTCATATACTTAAACATTTCACATATTACGTGAGTAATTCTAATTTATTTTTTTTTGAAAATTATGCTAACTTACGTTAAGCCGTCGGTCTGAAGGAAGCCGGAGCCACAAGCAAAACCGTAGCCGTGGGGGCCCCATTTCTTGCCGTAGCAAGTTTTGCAGTAAACCTCGGAATCAGGTCCGTCGCAAGCAATGATGGAATCCAAAGTCTTGGTGCAGTCGCGGCATTTGAAGCACTTGCGATGCCATTCACGGCCCTTCGCCAGTACTTGTTCAGCTGCGAACACTACACCGCCACATCGGGGGCAACCCTTGCCGGGTGGCGCTTGGATGGAAGCGGTATCGATTACCGTAGTCTTGGGTGCTTGATCACTGCAAATGACAAGATTGACTTTGAGATATGTTAGTAAAGTGCAATAGTTGTTGAAAAAAATCCCTTTCAACACAAACAAGAAGTGATGGTTATGAAATATGAGTTATGAAAATTCCCACAAATAAGTAGGTATCTGATAAAATGAAACATGGTACCTACTGTTAAAATCGTAAGTATGAATAAGTATTTATTCTTTGTCGCTATTCTCATGAGAAATCGCAAGAAAATTCTTGATAGTCAGAGAATAAAAGTGTTGTTTTTATTATGAATTTGGTATGTAGGTAAAGTCAACGTTTTAATTAGGTATTTAAATTAGGTTGTACAATGATAATGCTTTTATGAGTGAGCAAGTGGAATTATTATCTACCTACGTAAAATGTATTCACTGAAGTACCTACTTACTACCAATTCGATATATTTATTATTTGGGTAATTTTATGACGACGTAAACCGAGTAGGTATCTGTTGGTGGGTACTTGGATATACGGACAATCTGCGTTACTTTAATAGCTCAAGATGCAAATACACGTAATTATAGTCATAGACATAATATTTATTTATGAAGATATTCATCTAGTTTGCCACAGATTAGATGCTGTAAGCTCAAAGCGTGGCTCGTCTCGCCGATATTAAAATTAGTCCAATCGAGAGCGGAGAGCGCGTTCTATTTTCATATTGGCACGTTGCCATCTCTTGTTTGTATTATAAGCTGTTTTTATGAAAGTGACTATGCGATGGAAATAACCTAAACCTGTCATGTAACCTGAGAAGCATACGTAATGTTACTGAAGCTTCTGGCGAAAATAACTTGCGCAAAATGAGACATGTGGTGTTAAATAATGCGTGTTAATCACAATAACTTTATGAATATTTGAGATAAAAACTAATTTGCTAAAGCAGTCTATAAGCAAATTGGTTATGTTAGGTGATTCGGTTAATTATGAACACTTGGAATTCAGTCCTATAGACTATCCTCTAGGATCCATTAGGGTCTCCGGGACAATCTTATATTATACCTTTGCCATTCCATGTCCTTAATATCACACATAAGACCCAGGCTTGACATTCCCCCATGTCCTATACCTCTTGGACCAAATCTTTGTGCGTAGCATCCTACAGCAAAAGCAAATAAGCGTTATTATTGCATCTTTTGAGCACACAGCGATACACTCGCAAATATTTGTGACGGTTGATATAAACTATTTTGTGTTCATTTGTGTCAAAAGCTGTGCCCTCGCCAGATAAGTCACACATCCGATCCACTAGCGGTTCTTACCCATTGGCGTAAGGGTCACTCTGCAAGACACCAGCTCCTTTCCCGTAACCGTATCCTTTAGGGCCAAACTTCTTGCCATAACATACTATAGAGAAAAACATTTAATTAAAACCACGAAAAGGGAAAATGAACATGCGTTTCAGTTAATAGTTTTATGTATTCAATCATGATATTATTTAAACAGGTAGGTAAATAGTGACTTGGTAACTGGTTGCTTTAAACGATATTTTTATAGAAATTGGAACATAACGATAAATTATGGGAAATGTGCAGAAAAACAAACCTTTGCAGTAAATATCTTTGTCTGGGCCCTCGCAACAGTTTGTAGAGTCCAGCCGTTTTAAGCAGTCTCCGCATTTGAAGCACTCCTTGTGCCACGCCTGGACATACAGTGAATAGTGAGGACACATTAGGGCATGCAGGGACACGCTATTGTTGAGGAGCACTCGCGTTATTACAATGATACATGATGTTATGGCACATACATCTCAATGGGTGGGACATTTCATTGACACGAAGACACAATAGTTCATCATTCAGATACCTCTACAGTAAATGTCACCATCTGGCCCATCACAATGCATCATTGAATCAAGGGTCCTGTTGCAATTAAAGCATTTGAAGCATCGCCTGTGATAGCCCTACGGCATAAAATTCAAAAACCATTATATTTTGTGATATTAACACAATTATGTCGGTAATTAAAAGTAAATGGCCTGTGGGTAGTTTGTTTTTTCAACTTTGTCAAAGCATGTAAAAGCAATGCAAGCTGTTGAATTACATTGAAATAAGTGAAGATGACGTAGTTAAAAACACATACGTTTACAAGGTTACACATGTAAAGCTGAACATCTTACCCGGCCTCTGGCTAACATCTGCTCGGCAGCGTATACGAAGCCACCGCATCGTGGGCATCCTTGTCCAGGAGGCGCCTTGGCAATAACGCGTGGCTCGAGACAAGCTCCGTTAGTCCTTACGCCCCTGTATACATGCCACAAATCAATACATGTATGACAATGTTTCGACCAAGCAACAGGTGACAGAAGAATAGTTAAAAGCCTCTCAGGCATCGGAAGAATCCGTTTGCCCCTACATTCTAGTATCGGCCACACGGCTTGCGGCTAAGCAGTAGGTAGATGCCGGCGGCGCACCTCCGCCGTAATGGGAGAAGGTAAGGGCTCCCGGCCGCCCGCTCCGCACCGGCCTCGCTATAGCACTACATTATTATATCGACATAGAGGGCGCTTTCCTTATCCCATCACATGTAATCACTATCAGTTACAAGCTAAGACGGAAGCGTTAGCTGAGGGTTAGACAGAGTGTGAGTAGCAAGGAAAGTTATTAAACATAAGTTCGTCTCGGTACATGCCAACTAGGTGCGTCTGGAGCGTTGCTAAGCCAAGGCTACATATTGGTTTCTCACCGTGGCTCCTTCGTGTTGGGGTACGCCCCGTTGGGGAGGAAGGGATCGATCAGGGCTGAACGCGCTCGAGCCGGCGCGGGACCTACTGCGGCAACGCAGGTACGCGCACGCCTCGAGCGCGCTCGTAAATATTACTAACTCAGGGTTGGTAGTCGACTGTTTTTTATTTATTTGTGTTTTTTATAAATAATAAATAATACCGATGAACAAATTAAATTAAGCGATAGCGAATAAATAATCCTAACTAGAGTAATTTAAAGTACAGTATATGGCGTGCGTTCGCGAGGCGTCGCTGGAGGGCCGAGATGTGTGTCGGCGACCCGCAAGTTGTGCTGGACGGCTGCTCGCTCAATTCCTGTTGCGACATAAACGGAGACTGGTCATGCACGTGTCAGGCGGCGCGTAATGTACAGCCAGCGCGCGCTTCTACTGTATAGTATGAGTATATGTACACGCGGTTAATGTGGTTACGCACGGGCCCGGAGGCCGGCCGTCGTTGCGACCTTAGATAAGGAAAGGCCCTCAGTGGCGCGGGCGGCGGGAGAGCTATGTAGGATGGTACTTACGCATTCTCAGCCTTCAGGTGGTCACCAGTGTCCATGGACAGGCAACCAGCACCACCGCCGAAGCCGTAGCCTTTTGGTCCGAATTTACGTGCATGGCACACTTTGCAGTACAGTTCACCTTCGTGTTCTGAGCAGTTGGTGGAGTCCAGCAACTTCTGGCACAGGCCTGCACAACATAACAATTCAGTATGACGTCTTGGTACTGCAGACTGCTAGCTTGACGTCCTACACTTCTCTGACCCCATACACGATAGGTATTATAATGTAAACACAAACAATATGGTTGGTGAATAGGTCCTAAATAATATATGGAAACAGTACGTTCTTGCATATAAGACAACTTAAGAACAAAATTTTGGAACTACGGAAACATTGATCATGGGTTACAGAAATAAAATCTCAAAAGAAGAAAATATCATGTGTGTTTAGAAAAATAACAATCAATCATAATATTTTCGTGTCATACGTCTTAAGAGAAAAATAAATAAAAATAAAGCTCTGACTGAAGACATTTTATAAGGAATATCAGATTCGT